GCGGCAAGTAGGTAAATCCGGCCCTGAATCCCTCCAGTTATGGGTGGTCCATCCGATATTCTCTTCTAAGTATACCATAGTGACTATGTTATGAAAATGCAACTTTTCATTAATGAGGAGGGAGAAACTTCAAAGATGTTCATTCAGAGCTTAAAGTTTGTATCTTTGGTTTAAATCGAACTACATTTTGCAATAAGAAACTATTATTTATAGGTCATTCTTAGAAGCACCTATTTGCATTGGGAAACTTAAATTACTCAAGATTTTTCTAAAATGAGCCTCAAATAGGAGATCCTCATTGCAAAACGTATAGTCTAACTGTCGCTTAGAGCAACCGGGGATCAGAGCTTTACCAATGCACCGTTGCGGATTTGTGCAAAATAATGTCCTTATCTCGATGAAAATAAGTTCCATCTAAATGTGAGGCGAGGCAATCTTATGCCTTTCATCTCTTGATGGTACCTCCTTCCACTCTCTAACCCCTGCATTTGTATCACAAGTGACCAGACTTGCAAAGTTTCAATCCATCATCAGTCCTTGGTTGGGTATGATTTCAAGTCAATAAATGTTTTGGCAACGCTGTGACAGATAAGTGTGGGACTCTTCGATCATTGTAATAATCAATAATAAAGCGTATCTAATTCGTTCACTCGTTCGTTGGAACGTTTAGCTCACTGACAGTCAGTCCCAAGAATCTTTGTCCTTATCCAGGGATACTTTCCGTCCGAGGCTAGTAATCTAGGGCGATGGCAATTTCATAAGAAGCCAGCGATTCAGGCAATTTTCTCATATTCTTCAATTTTAAATGGAGAAATAATTAGATTTCATATGTAAATGAAGAGAAAGGTTTCTCATATGGAGCAAAAGCTGGTAAAATGCTGTGAAAAACGTAGGTATGATGAAAATGAAAAGAAAATATAGGAATCTGTTCAGGAACACTGGGAACAGGGTTCAGGAATTCGTTAAAAAGATCGTTTGGGCCACGTCTTTTAAAATCTTGTCATATCAGCTTTCATGTTGCCTCACCTCTCGAAATTTTTCATTTTCTTTTACGCGGGAAAAGTAAGTAACATAATGCCTTGCAACTCCTTATGAATTTTCCCTAAATTCTCGGTCTTATTTTATTTAATCGGAGAGGAATAAACCAAGTTTACACCTGAAAGTTCATACAAAATATTATGCTAGTAGAGAGAACGAATCAAAGGCTTTTAAAAGAAATTACGCTGACCAAAGAAAAAATAAAGTATGACATGAAGTCTGCAACGTCGCAAACGAAGATACGTGTTTGTGCACGCTAGCTACCGATATCGACGGTGAAACTACCAAACCACGTATCTCATTTGCGGTGTTTAAAAATCTACGCTCAAATTTTATTTTTTTGAAGTTGACCAAATCAATATCATTCCTTGAAATTTTTACGGAATTTTCTCCGCACAAAGAGAAAAAATCACAGAAATTTTCAAGACTGGATGTTAAGTAGTTTTTTATTTAAAAAATAAAGTATGACAGGAAGTCTGCGACGTCGCAAACCGAGATACGTGGTTTGGTAGTTTCACCGTCGATATGCTTAAGAAAACACTTAAATCTCAAGTTACATCAAAAGCTTCGGTTACCCTATGCTGATCTGATAAATGCGCAATGATCAAAAAAAGGGTCACAATATGTGAGATGTGAAGGCAACGAATAGGGGTGGTTCACAAATCGGTCAATTTTATTCCTAAAATAGCGATACTTTGCGGTCTATTCAATTGGCACAAATTGGTCTAAAACTGCCCCTATATTGGGCCTCAGGCTACGAATAATCCTCTTCTCCCTTTGCCTGTAAGTTGGTCCAGCTTCAATGATCAACGGCTATCTCATTCCATGACCGCATGAAATGCCACTGCTGGCCTGCGCAGACAAGCTACTTCCGACTACGATAGTCGGAAAGGATGAAAGGAGATAAAAGGGAGGAAGGAGGGAAGTGAGGCAATGCCTCCGATAAGTAAATCTCCAATGAGAATGAATGACGACCTAAATTAGCTAATATCGTCGTTGCCAGATCACGCTGTGGGTTCAGCAGCCCATGAGGAGAATTCAATGGGTAGGGGCAGTAGCGATTTTGCAAAATTTCAACACTGTCTTTTCTCCAATTAAACCCGTTAAAAATATCGATTTTAGGTGAGACAAGCTGCTTCACCAAGAATCGATTGTTTTACATACATTTACATGCAGAAAAAACAATGTTGCCAACTTTCAAAAATCGCCACCAGTAGGGAGCAGATAGAGGCTCACTGCGATAAACAAAACTAGCCCTTTCGAATTGGGGGAGTCTTCCGAAAAGTTGCTCTTCTTTTAGGAACCCGGGGATGGCATTGAATCGTGGTTGAAATGAAACCTTCTGGGTTCGCAGCCTCTGTTACAGGTTTCAGCCTGACGAAAAAGTTGATTTTAGCGATTAGAATTTTCAAATTTAAAGTTTTAATACGTAAGAAGGCATTTTTTAGTATTACACAATGAACTTTTGTCATGCTTTAATTCCAAAACAGTGCAGCCTCAAACTTCAGCTATAACTTAAAACAGAGACTAATCTAATCATAAGGATGAATTTTAGCCATAAGTCGATTGAATTCTATGGTTCCCAAATAAAGGGAAAGAGCCCTGTTTTGAGGAGGTTTTTTTGGCTGTACTATTATGATGTTTCACTGGAGAAAGTGACGTAGGATGATTTTGACACACAAACCCAAATGTGCACAAATGTATTGGTACTGCACAGCAGACTAGTTGGAATTTTACTTTTTGGAGTACTTATTCCTAACTAATTGTTACTGCATCATTAAGTTTGAGTACAACACCGGTGAGTTTCCTGTACAGCGCCATTGAGTTGCTGCATAACACCAATATTTGGATCAGTCGGTTGAAATCATGAAACCTTTCTTTTTATTTTTCTTTTATTTTCAGTATATGCAAGTGAAGTAATCCGCCAATCAGACAAAAAACCACGATGATTCCTTCCCTCTTAGAAATTCGAATCTTCCCGATCCTTTTAAAAAGCCTTTCGAAAAAAAAAAAATATCAAGGAGTGCCTATATAAAATAGTCACAGTACCGCCTCACACAAATATGATGTCTTCCCAACTTTTCACATTCTTCTCACGCCGAAACCCGGAAAATAAAAAATAATAAAAGTAATAAAGGGAATAAAATTTACATTTCCCGGGGAATATCTGGCGGTGACAGAATATTCATGTATTTCATCAAATTTATTCCGGTTCCTTGACATTTTTCACCTCGCTGACTGAACCTACATCCCGCACGAGCGCTAATCTCAAGAAATGTTTACCCGCTCCCTCGATTGTTTACAAATTGTACCGCGGCGTCTCACTCCTACGCCTGTATTTTTAGGCCGCGGAAATGCCTCCGAAACGCGATCGATCTGGCACTCTATCGATTCCGGGCGTTTGATTCGAGGAGTACGATCGAAAAGTTCGATCCATCGTTTGGAATCGATCGTCCGACTCGTCGAGTAAAGCGGAGCTCGTTCTTTTTTATTGTTTACGGTTACGGGTCCATTCTGCCGTGCTAAGCAAGAACGCCGTATGAGCCATCAGGTGTTGCCAAATTTACTTCGAAAAACAACGAATTTTCAGGAAATTCGTGAATATTTCTCCTCCGATTTATCGGGGAATTCTGTTCGAAATTTGATCTAAAGAGTCTGAAAATTTCAAGGAAAAATATTCGTAACTTTCTTCAAAAATGGATATTTTTTTAGAGGAAATTTGGCAACATTCGAAAGCTCATACGGCGTTTTTCCTCAGCACGGCAGCGTTCTGTGTTCGCTAACCCTTGCGATATCGGAATCGTTGCTACGTAGGCGATCGACATTAAAAAATCCGCGGGGGACCCAATGCGGAAACGTTAGTGTATTTTGCCATAAAGCCAACACCGCTCTAAAAGTATGCATATGTATTTGCGCTACCACTCACACTTTGCATGAATCTGAGGGGGATGGACCCAGCAGCCCCCCTCCCTCCTCCCTCGCGAGGTTTTTTTCGTTTCGGGCGGTGTTAAAACTGTGGGCAACGGAAAAGCCATTGATGACCCTTTTTTTCATCCCTTCTGAGTAGGCACGGATTTTAAAGTTTTCCCCGGCCTGGTCGTTACCGAAACCGAGTTTTTCCTACGGCCTCCTGAACATATTGTCACCCCTCTGACGTAAGTGCGTATCTCAAATCCTGCGTGAGCCCCATTTTACATATTCGTCCATGTTTTTTATGGCTCATGCAGAAATCGAGGTACACCCTTACTGCCGTGCTAGGGAATAAGGCCGTGTGAGCATTCAGGCGTTGCCTTATTTCCTTCAAAAACATACCAATTTACTGGGAAAGTCCTGAATGTGTTAAAACTAATTTTTTCAGACAGTCATGTTGCCAATTTAATTTAAATTATCTGAAAATTTCAAAGAATAATATTCATAACTTTCTTCAAAAATAATTATTTTCTGAGGGGAAATTTGGCAAAATTCAAATGCTCATACGGCGTTTTTCCTTAGCACGGCAACTTACGCGACGAGTCACTTTTTGAATGAAAAAAACAACAACAAAAAACAGGTTTTTTTGTTAATAATTCATTATAAATTAAATGCTTTATATTTGAATTAGTGGCTAACCTTAGCTCAGTCTGCAAGTTTTTAAAGAAAATGTTTGTGTATTTATTATTTTTTTTTTTTTTTATTAATTTTTATTTTTATTTCCCATTTTCAAATTTTTCTTACTATTATACAGTTAAAATTTTTCCTAAATCAAAACTAAATAAACCAAAATTAACACGGCATTTTTTATGTTAACAAGTGAAGTTTTTGCGGTTAATGTTTAAAATGGACCAGAATCGATTTCTGAACAGCGCTTTGTGCACAACTTTTAAATTTGTAGGGCGAGAAAGAATTTAATACGCTAAGCTTTGACCAAATGGATGCTAAGTATAATGCATGAGATCTTAGTCTTACGGCAGAGCTATGTATACTTATTGCAGAGCGAAGTTGTCACTGTACTTGGGAGTTTACTCGTTATCCTGCTCTGCAATGTGAAGATTAGATAGGGATCCCTCTTTGATGGCCCCTGAGCCGACCAATCTCCACCTTGCTTACAACTCGAAAATTTGAAGACGTCAGATCCGTGCGGCAGATCATTCCTTTTCCAAAGTCTGAAAATTTTGGAAATCGACCAGCTAGATCTCTAAATATAACTATGCAGTTAGGAAGTCAAAGAACTGAAAGCAATGAAACTTTAGACCCATACTTTTCAAACATAAAGGTTCTTTTTTTAAACTTTGCAGGTTTTATTGTGTTTTCCTTTACTAAAATCATAATTTCTGAAAAACTCAAATATCGAATAACATTAGCTAATAGCTAACAACCAAAAAACAACAAGCATCATGCACTTACCACTCAGTCCGACTCAGAGGCAGCTAGCGGAAGAGCACCAACTAATCCGAGTCTTGGTGAGCATCAACAATCAACACAGACCCGGCGTAGCCCCCCTGAGCCCCCCCCCCCCCCCCCCCCCC